TTCAGTGGCAGTATCTCAAAGTATTGAATTGACTTTGCCTAAAGATGAAAAACACTCTTTTTCTAATCACAGCTTGAAGGAGATTTTGCTTTGGCTCCTGGTTTCCCATCTCCTCCCAATCTGGATTATATTGGCTACCACAAGTACATTGATGAAATGTTGCCCACAGAAAGTCCTACATTGTATGGGCTCCATCCTAATGCGGAGATAGATTTCTTAACAGTTCTGTCTGATAACCTATTCAAAACTCTGCTGGAAATGCAACCCAGAAATCTACTTGCTGGAGAAATTATAGGACAGTCATTAGAAGAAAAGGTGAGACTGTTGAGTTTCACTAATGTTTACTCCATAACACCTTCACAGAACTGGAATAATTCATAATTTTAATGGTATCAAAATTAAAACTTTGTTCCTCATGAACATAAATGTTTGACAAGTAGGAACATAAGAATTGCACAAAGTATTCCAAATAGAGAAGAATTTGTTTTAGTCCATGCCCAAATGGAAACATTTATTTCAGTTATTTCCATCCATATTGAATTGAATTCTTTATTGCCAAGTGTGATTGGACGCACAAGGAATTTGTCTTTGGTGCATATGCTCTTAGTGTACATAAAATGAAAGATACATTCATCACAAATCATAAGGTACAACACTTAAAGATAGTCATGGGGTACAAATAATCAAATCATACCAAGAAACAATATAAATCATAAAGATACAAGCAACAAAGTTACAGTCATACAGTCATAAGTGGGAGGAGATAGGTGATAGGAACAATGAGAAGATTAATAGTAATGCAGACTTAATTAGTAAATAGTTTGACAGTATTGAGGGAATTATTTGTATGGAATGAAGCAGAAGCAGTGGGGAGAAGGGGGTGGCATGGAGACAGGAAGAAAAAGTTATGGACGTTGATAGTGGTTCAAAGGAGATAGAAAAAGGAAGACTTTGAGAGATTAGGTAGACCACATCAGGAACAGCTGAGGGAAGGAAGAGCAACAAGGGCAGTTCACACAACTAACCTTCATGGCCCAATAAAACCAACTCTAATTTTGTTTTATTTGAACAACCAAAATATTTTGTTTTTTTTCCTTATGCTGAATTACAGTTAATTCCATCAGTTTAGCAGAAACTCTGGATTGTGATATTCTGATCTGAATGTGAAACAAAATGCATTTTCTGTTTCAGGCTTATCCCAAATGACAAACAATATCTATAACAATATCTGTATTTTTATGCACTGCTCAGCATGTTCAACACATATTCCAACCAGTGCTTGCTTTATAGAGGATGATAAATGTAAACAAAATGCATACCTGATAATGTTACTTTGCATTTATAAGGTGAAAAATGTACTGGATGAAATTTTGGAAAAGCTGCCGGAAGAATTTAATTTATCTGAGATTATGCAAAAGTCTGCTATACGAAGCCCATATATTCTTGTGTGTTTTCAAGAATGTGAAAGAATGAATATTCTCATTAGAGAGATACGGCGATCAATAAAACAATTAGACCTTGGATTAAAAGTAAGGAATATATTGCATTATTTTTATTAAATTTATTTGCTGCCTACCTTACCATGGGATGCTCTCTATATACATGTACTATGAAGGGTAAAAATGAATCTTAAACTGGGATTGTAAATTTAAATGTTTCTTTTGGTTCAAATTTCTAGGGTGAGCTGACATTTTCGTCTAGTATGGAAACTTTACAATCATCGCTGTTCTATGACCAGGTACCTGATGCATGGTCCAGTCTGGCTTACCCATCTACTTACAGTCTTGCACAATGGTAAACACGTCTTTAAGGAATGGACCTGTTTAGTTACATTATAAATCATAAACTGTATTTTTTAAAAGCAAAAAAAAACAAAACATTATTTAAATTTCAAAAATCTTTTTGAGCCTTAAAATGAGCAAAATGACCTAAGTATGATTTTGCATGCCCTATGACATTTTTTAAGTCTCAAAATTTAAAAGATGAAGAGTTTCTAGAATTTCTATATCATGTATTCATCTGTCCTAAATTAGCATATATTTTCTTGTTTATTAGAAGGTAAGATGCTTCGTATGCAACAGGCTACTCCATGATCTACTACCAATAATCAATAATATATGTGTTAAAGTGATATAAATTATATAATGCAAATTATTCCCCAAATTTATTTCTTATGCATCTGTGTTTACCATTGCTATATTTTTATTCAGGTTTAATGGCCTTCTTTTGCGATGCCGAGAACTTGATACCTGGACACAAGATCTTGTACTTCCTGCAGTAGTGTGGCTTTCGGGTTTCTTCAATCCAGAATCTTTTTTGACCGGTATGTTAATATTGATTCATGATATTTAAATGTCAAGCAAAACATGCTGCATAATAGTTTTAGCTACAGTTTTAAAATAATTTTGAAGAATTTTTTTTAAAGCTAGTTTCCTTTAAATTTCACAAAGTTCAAACGTCACAAATTATGTCACGTAGTGAGTAGGCAGCCATAAGCATCAATTGACTGAGCAAGTGACCTAATGTATGAATGAACACAATTTATTTAAAAGCTTATGAAAAGCTCAGGTGATGGAAATCCAACTGACAGACAATACATGACACACTGACATGCTGAACAGGCTTGTGTCCACTTTACTTTTCTCAGGAGTGGAAAAGTAGTGTGATTTCTAATAATGTATGAAAAGTCACGTAGGTACATATAGGTCAGATAGACATTTGATGCTAAACGATATTATGTCTTAGGTGTCATACAAATTGCATCTATAGAATCGAATTTTTGGAAGGGAAACAGCAAAGTATCAGAAGCTGTTTCAGCATTAAAAATACATTCACTTGCAATGGCTTCTTAAAAATGACCTTCAGTGCCAAGGCAAATGTAATTTTTTTATGCCTTAAATTACATGAAATTAACTTTTTGTTAATAAATCTGGATTTATTTCTACAAAGTTGGATTAAATAATTTTTCCTCAAGAATAATGTTCTGTTTTTCCCATATTTACATGGCCCTATTAGCTATTGAAAGCAAGCTTGGTGTAGTATTAAGGCAACAGGTTAGAAATTGGGAGATCATGAGTTCCAGTCCCAGCTTAGGCATAAAGCTAGATGCCTTACCTTGAACCATTACCTTCCCCTCAACCCTAGCAAGGAAGCAAAAAAAAAAAACCCCACTCTGTCAAAAAAAGAGAGATTTGTCTAGGTAGGCTCTAAGAATTTGACATAGAGGAATGGAAAATATCCATAGCAAAAAGTATGCAGCTCATAAAATAAGTTGAATTATTCATCTCTTCTTGAAAGCCATTATGCAAACTACAGCAAGAAAAAACAACTGGTCTCTGGATAAGATGTGCTTGACAACTGATGTTACCAAAAAGAGTAGAGAAGATTATGGTCATCCACCAAGAGAAGGTGCATATATTTTTGGACTTTACATGGAAGGTAAGTTTATTAAATTTCTGTATTAGCTATGTATGATCTAGTTAGAGGACACACCTGTAAAAATTGATTCAATATCAGACATATCAAAAAGAAGAAGTATATTTTATTGAATCAGTGAAAAGTGTAGCAAGCTTTCTGATTACGCGCAGTCCTGGACTTAACGATCCCAATAGGGATCAGACCTTCCAATTTAATTAACCCAACCCAATACTTTATGAATTTGCTTGCTGTTTCATTAAGCAACTCACTGTGGTCATTAAGCGAATCACATAGCTTTTAAGCCACTTCAACTTCCCCCATTAACTATGCTTTTTGGAAGTCCTCTGGGAAGGTTATAAATGATAATGTGACTCTGGGACAAGGCAACAACTGCGAATGCATGTCAGTTTGCCAAGCACTTTAATTTTGATTGTGTGACTTGAAGGGAAGGCCTAAGTGTGAGGATCATAATGCCACTTTTTTCAGAACCATCCTTATTTTGAATGGTTAAACCAATGGTCATTAGTCAAAGGCTACCTACATTTTTAAAAAAATGGTGTTCACTAAATAACAATACTAAATGAAGCACAATATTCTGTACTTGCTGCTAAAAATTTTTTAAATGTATGTTATCTTTTCAACAGCAAGCCCTATTATTTGTAAAAATAATACAGAATATCAGTAGGATTTCAGGCATACAGAAGAGCACATGAATTGTGATTAATATTCTACCTAGCTAACTACATGCTTTTGCCCTGCAGAAGTTAATACGTGTATTTCTTGGCTGCAGGAGCAAGATGGGACATGCAAGCAGGAGTCGTAGCTGAAGCTCATTTGAAGGACCTGACTCCGATGCTGCCAGTCATCTTTGTCAGAGCAATTCCGGTAGAGAGGCAAGAAACCAAGAACATATACAAATGCCCAGTTTATAAAACTAAACTTAGAGGGCCCACCTACACATGGACTTTTAACTTAAAAACTAAAGAAAAGCCATCCAAGTGGGTGCTTGCAGGAGTAGCCTTGCTTTTGGAAGTTTAGCAATATACTTGCAGGCACACATTTTTCTTACTTACAAGGCATTCACACATTAAATCATGTATATCTCTATTTGAAATGACCACAGACAACCTTAAAGATAATGCCTTTATTGAATACTTGTCTATATTTACAGTATAGAAACAGTATATATGTACAAGTGAACATGCAAAGGATTAAGTCACTGAGAGATACATCTTACATATGTAATATGCAGATAAACCTTTAGTTCACACACCCCTTCACCTGAGGGAATAACATTTCAAGTTTCCATAAATGGCCCCAACTCAAACAGGACTTGTATGTATGCTGTAAGACCAATGCAAGTTATTTTTAAAGTCACTTGTATGTTCTGTTTTGCATAGTAAAAGCAAAAAGTGAGTACCTATATAATATAGCTGTAATCAAAAACTTAAAATATCTTAATTATAGCCAAAGAATAAAATATGTTAACTATGATAACTACTTTAACTTGAGTGCAAAAATATAGAAAATTATAATTTTGTAGGAAAAACTTATAGAACTCTTAACGCTGCTGCCACCTAGTGACCTTCTGTATTTTTGCAGCCTAAAAATACAGAAGAAATGTGCAGTTTTCTTCCATTTAACATTAACAAATAATAATAATAATGAAAATAAACATGAAGTAAATAGTAGCCTAACTTAGTCATTTATGAATATGAAAACAGTCAACACCATGCCTGATGTGCAAAGACCTATATAATGTTGTTCTTGCTATTTATCCTGTGAAATTCTTGGCCATACATTCAACTTTAAATCCAACGGAATGACAAATTTCAACAAATATATATTAGAACCAGATGGTCTTTCAAAAACAAAATGTCAGTTTAAGGAGCACCTTTTCCTGGACTTTTATTACTGTTTCAGAAGTTGTTCTACTGCAAATTAGAATAAACAGTGGTTTGGACTGCTTGTCTTCAGAAGTTTAAAGTCTGACATAAATTGCAAAGTCAACTTACCATTTTATTACTTTTACTAAATATTTTACTATTAATATTTCTAAATATTTTATAATTTTATTTCTAAACTAAGTCTATAAAGAAAAATATTTTTAAACAGTAGATCATTTTATTATATGCAGGAAAATATTGCTGTTCCCAATATTAACAGCCTTTTTCCATAGAAATATTTAATAAATCAAAAGTGGTTATTCCACATTTCTGAAATTATTTAAACTTAATGATTATAAATGAAAGTTCAAGATTTAAATTTTTAACTAATATAACTATATACATAAATCACCAAAATCAGAGTTTGTACTGGTGTCTTGAGTATTTTCACTCATTTCCATTACCATGAAGCATTGGCATGCTGCAATAAAGAAGAAAAAGAAAAATGTTTAGAGTTTAAGAAAGAGAATGTGACTATTACAAACTCTATTTCAAAGAGCTATAATACCACCAATTGTATTGTTCCAGCTTCCAATGTAAATAGTAAGTCACGACCTTTATAAGAAAAAAGCAAAACTATTGAATGCATTTACAAAATTATTTTTCAAAATTAAAAGTCTCTTAATTTTGGCAAAGATATTGGACAGGGTGTTAGAATATTTAGAAAGAATGTTTTATTAAGACTCAGAGGCCATGTCTCACTTTCTTAAAGATTCACTGAACTTACTCTTCACTGTTTGTAAGCTTTAAAAGTAGCTTACCCACGCAAATCATTATTAGACAAATATATTCTCAGAAAATGTAAGATACCCTGGCATGGGAGGAAAGCAATTACTTATAGGGGATGATGTGAGGATGGAATTGGATGAATGGGAAAGGAGAAACTGACTGTGACGTATATTAATCTGGACTGGAAGAAAGTAGTCTTTGCCACCACTCACCTAACAGTTGCTGCCATTGCTCTTGGATAAAGAACTTAACCTCATTCCGTTGCCTGGTAGGATTTTTTTAAAATTTCAGTTCAGAATAGACTAAACAAGGAATATAAATATTCCAACAAGTATATACTGTAAAGTAATCATAAGATCAGCTAAGCAAAATTATTACTTGTGAAACTGCATGACTGCACACTTCGTGAAAAATCTATATCAACACAAACCCAAACTCACTGTCTACCCCAAAAGATAGTTTGGCATTGGGGAGGGGGGCAAATGAGAGAAGCAGTAGGTATGCCACCCTGAAGAAAGGATGGAATATAAATCTAAATAAATAAAAGTAAAATAAACACAGCAAGTTGGATTGTTATATACAGTGATTTCTTAGAACTGACAAAATTGGAAATACTGATACAAACCACTCTATAAAAATTTAGGTATAAGCTTACCTTTCAAGATACTCCTTCACACTGCTATAGCCGTAAAGCTTTGCCAGGTGGATAAGTGTTCCAGTGGCACAGTAACCATCACGCTTGCGGCAGGAGCTGCAGTTACATACTCCGCGGCAAGGAGGGCACAACCACTCCTTAAAAATGGGAGAAGAGTATTAGTTCACCTTATATGTTATCACCAAAGTGTGGGAACCAGAAAGTGAGCAGCTGCATAAAGATACAGTGTTGCATGCTTCTGAAGCCATGTATAGTAAAAGTAAAACAATCAGATCACCAATAGCTTCATTGTATCTCCCATTTCATTACCCAACAATTCAAGCAACTAGAGCAGTGTTTCTCAACCTTGGCAACTTGAAGATGTCCGGACTTCAACTCCCAGAATTCCCCAGCCAGCAAATGCTGGCTGGGGAATTCTGGGAGTTGAAGTCCAGACATCTTCAAGTTGCCAAGGTTGAGAAACACTGAACTAGAGACTTACTGGATTCAGAAGTGCTACTTTCACATCTTCTCCATAGCGATTACGGAGACATGGTCCACAGAACTGTCCCCGCACACCGACACAGTCTTCATTATGACAGATGGTTTTTGTATCCAATGTCTTTTGGCGGCACTGATGGCATGTGGTTCCCTAATAGTGGGACAAATGATAATAATATTTTTAGAAAGCTACTTCTGATACATATGAAGATAAATATGGTGCTTTTCATCAACCTATTATTCTGATAAAGAATTTAACAAATTGCTATTATCCCAAAACACAGATAATTATACATTTTTGTTGCTAGAATATTAAGAAGCTTTTTCACAACTCCCAATACAAATGCATGTTTCAAACAAGGCAAGATGAATTAGCTAATACATTGAACTAGAGTGGAAAACCAATTTATAAAATGGAATTTGAAAAGCCTGCTACTCTATTGGTTCTGCAAAGCTGTAACAATATTTCAGGTTTTACAAGAAAGCAAAACTAAAACCAGCCCAAACTTAATCTAATGCTCACACTCCTTTCATTCTGGAGAGACAACTATTATGGAAAAATTAGCATTGTAAGTAATTCCAAACTTCTTCTTCTTTGCTTAAATTCCTGGAAAATATTTACTTCTTTTTTGAGGCAGGCACTTCTGCTAATACCTTGACAAGATAAATAATTTATTGGTAGTTATTTTACTGTCTGTGTTCTAGGAATTGTCAGTATAATTATAGACTGTAATTAAAATATTAAATACTTCACAGTACACCATGACAGTAGGGAAGATTAACCGTGTTCATGGGAAGGTGAAAGAACAAGTAATTCAACCAGTATAAATAATACTGTGGCAGCTGGATCATTATAGAAATGTAAAGATATCTCAAGAACATTATGTACATAAATAGGGTAAAAAACTGATTTGATCTAAAACATTGCATTCAAGTATGTCAAACTAAGCAAATTTATAAAGAAAATAACCTACCCAAATCTTATGGTGGATTTTGTCTTTATTATTAAATGCAGTTTGTTCTAGTTCTTCATTTGTTACGACAACTGATCGAAGTCCTGTGATTCTTACCATTTTTCTTTTTTTCGGCGATCCTAAAATATGCTATAAGAAAAATTCACCATCTCTAAATCAAATGCAGCTTCAAACTCTGTATTCAACTTGTGGACTTGCAGTCTAATAGATTATCCACTAAAATATTTATATTTTTAATATGTAATGTTTATGCTTCTTTTGAGAGTAAGCCATTTTAAAGAATTATCTAGTACTATAAAATCATCTATTATATTTAATTATAAATTGTTTCTTGAACTATAAAGTTTAGATTTCATTAATTTACTATATATTTATTCTTTTTATAAGTAGCTTTTCCGTTTTCTTCCTTGACTTATTTTTTCTGAAAATGTAATTCCCCCCCTCTAATTGACTGTATACTACAATTCAATAATTGCAGCATGCAAATATTGCAAAAAATATTTTTTATTTTATGAAACTTATGAAATGGTAAATGGAAGAATTAAGTGCAATTCATTTGTATTTTCTGCTTTTTATAGATTGTTCTCCTGCCAAATCCAAAAATTCATTTTGTTTCCTTTTATACATCACCCATTTAAATCCTGACATGGTTAGCACATTTTAAATAGAAAAATCTGAAAATAGCATATTCAAATTTCCAGAGACAATTTAGTGAAATTGCTTCTGGATCAGAATAGACAATGTGCCTTCCTCAATATAATTGGACTATCCTTAACCTTCAAATGGTCCAAATAGTTTACCACTTTAATCCAAAGTCTACTGCAGTAAAAATATTGTGATTGGAACTATGAACCACAAGACTTGCTACTCATTACAAGGACCAGGATAGACATTAGACTAGAGGTATTATGCACGGCCATGCCCACCCGTTTTAGCAAAGGGTGGCGGGAAGTCACAATATGTCAGGTGACCACATGTGTTTGATACCCTTGCACTAGGCTTTTCACTTAAGCTCATGCTTGGTAAGTTCCATCCTTACTACTTGCTAATTACTCTGTTAAAATAAACCCAAAACATAATTTTGGTATGTACCTCATTTAGTTTTCTCTTCATTAAGTTGTGATAGGTTTCATTATCAACCCATTGCATAGGTGGGTTTCTTTCCACAGCAAAGTTTTCTGGGGGCCGAGCACTCCTCATTGGGTTAGCTCGACGCTGTATTGTGTCTCTTGAAGATCTTGTCCTTAGTACTTTCTTTCGTTTCTAAAACAAAAGAGAGAGAGAGATTTTCTTTATGAAGATGTAGCTTGAAGCAGTAGCTTATCATGGTCACTTTGTTCAATCCCCTTCAAATTCTTTTTTTAATTGACTTTTATGGCACACTGCTAATCCCTACACAATTTGGGAGAGTATGTAACAAGATCAGATAAATATTTGGATAAAATTAGTGGAAAATTTGGACATAATTCCTGGATATCAGTATATCAACATCAAAAGAGCACTGGCTAAGATTTATAGTGTTAAATAGTTACTGAATTGGTCAAAGAGGTGCACAAAATTGTGAAAAACTACTATATCTTTTGGAGTATAAGACACAGCAAGATTTTGAAGAGGTAAATTTCTTTTAAAAAAATTTTTTTTTGCCATCCCCAGCCCCCAGGAGCCCTCTGCAGGCCTCCCAAACCCTCCGAAAACTAAGGCATGCAGAGAGTTTGGGAGGCTTGCAAAGTTTCTGAAGGCTGGGAAGGGCAAAAATGTGATCTTCCTAAAGGGTAAGGCTTTTATCAATCTCAAATCCACTTTTCTTTACCCCTCCCCATGGCAGGGCAGAATTAAACAGATCTCCCCATGCTTTATTTTTTTCCCTCTGACCAGCAACCAAGGCCCAAGGAACAGCAGTCGGATCGCTTCTTCTCTTCAGTGAGAACGTTGAACTGCTGCTACTGCCCTTGACCAGGAACGGCCCATTGGGCGAGGAGGGGATGGGGATCCCTTCCATTTGGATTAAAAGTTCCTCGTGGTGGTGCTTGAGTGGCAAAAGGGAAGTCCAAAGAAGACAACCTGGCAAGGCTGCCTCCTTGAAAAACTAGGCTTGTTCACAGCCCTCTTCGCAACCCCGCTTCCTTAGTCTTGGGGTACCTTTTCGGGCAGGGTTTTTTGGAAGGTTCCAAGTGCAGCTTTCTTTCCCAGGTACTCGGAGGCTTTTGTATATGCCACCCTCCTCCTCCTCCTCCTGCAAATGGGAGGTGCCTCAGAGACGCTAGATTTCTCAGGATGCTAGATTGGGAAGTTAAAAACCTAGAATGGGATGCAATCAAGCTTGATTCAAAGACTTTGGCTTTGGATCACTGCACTGCCGCCCAAAGATGGTGTTACAGTGATCTCTGCAGAGCCCACGTCACCTGCCCCTTCTCGGGCAATTCCAGGTAGGAGAGATCATGGCAACAGCATTTTCGGGTGGCAGCAAAGTGATCTCAGGAGCTTGATTGCAGCCCATTCCAGGTTTTTAACTTCCAAAATCTAGTGTCCTGAGAAAAGCCATTTTTCCAATCAGGGAAGAAAAAGAGCATTTCAGATGACAGGCAGTTCCAAGCTGCAGGGATCATGGAGCAGCCTGGAACCACCCGCTTTTTCCTCCCCGATTGCAAAAACAGGGCAGGCATTCCTCCTGGCTAGATCCATCTCTTGGGCAAGGAGCCAAGCCAGCAAGCCAGCAATCAGCCAGCTACCTCTGAGCTGCCTGCCCTATGCCTGTGCCTGGCTCCTGTGCCCTCACCCGACCATGCTGCCCTCTCGCTTTTCTCCCTGCCTCTCCCGGCTGACAGTGCAGACCAGGAGAAAAGAGAAGGCGAGTCTGCAGACACTGTGGAACTTGGAAGGAAAGCATTTTGAGGTTGTAATATGTGCTGGAACCACCTGCCACCTTAAACGTGATTCGCTTTTTTTGCCTCCGCAAATACCCTTTTTGGAATCGGGGAGAGGACTGTGGCATTGCTGCCCAAAAATTCTTTCGTTGAAAAGGCTTTGATGCAATTCCCTCGGCTGCATCAGGAATCAGGCTCCATGGGGAAGTGAGGATTCCTCCCCCCCCCTCGGTTCTGGAACTACTTGAAAATGTGATGCATGGAGTGGGTGGGTGGAGTTACATTTGGAGTATAAGACGCACCCAGATTTTCACCCTATTTTTGGGAAGAAAAAGATGTGTCTTATACTACAGTAATCTTGGTTCCTTAAGTTAGTCTGATATTTTTCATGTCTTTCTAAACAGAGTATATGTACATTTTAAAAGTTTTGTTAAATATACTAAAAGAAAAATTCTGAAAATGCAATAGTAGTGAGTTAATCCTTTCTAAGTCAAGTCTGACTGGAAGAAAAAAAGTCATAATTTTATATACTCAATCTTAGAAATGCAAAACAAATTTTTGTAAAAGAAAATGTATTCATACTTACAGTTGAAGGAGTTTCAGTTGCGGAAGATATAGCTTCTAGGTCTGCTAGTAACTGTGCAAGCTGAAATGGGAAAATGGACTTGATTTTTTCTATAAATCAAATAGTTCTTAATGGCAGTCTTATATATACACTATTTCATGATGCATTTTTAAAAATGTAAATCCTCACATTTTTAGAATAATTTTAGTAATGTATCACATAGTTTAAAAATGCACTGGTATGATTAGTTTCACTGTTCAGAATATTACAGTAAAAATTTGGAGTTAATAAATTAAGAATATTAATACATTATTCATATGGGCGTACCGGATCCTAGCCAGAGTACCGGGTACCTTTCTGGTACGGTGCTCTGGAGGGCCCGCCCACCCATGCTCCTTACCTATGCTTTATGCTTTGGGCACTTCCGCGCATGTGCATGGCACATACGGCGCCTGCGCAATGCTCTGCAGAGCAGCTGGAGCATCGTGGAGGCTTGCAGAAGCGTCATTTAACACTAGAACACATGCACGCACCATGCACGTCCATGTGGGCAACTCCAGAACCCACCACTGGTGTCAACTCATTTCTTTGTTTTTTTAACTACTAATGCCATCTAAGAATGCTGAATTAGTTCTCACCACAGCTTTATTTTCTTGTATATTCTGATCTCTCCTCGAAAGTGCATTAGAGTTTTCATCTGGTGCCTCATCTGCCTCAGATTCAGAAGAAGTATCTGGATCTGCATTTCTCACATTTGTATTTTTTCTTTGTTTAGGAAAAGGAGATTCGTTGGATTGGGGGGAAGACTTTTTAGCTGATTTGTTAGGAAGCTGCATTGATCCTCGAAGTTTGAATTTTCTTTTCTTATGAGTTGAGTCAGTTTCCATTGCTTCTTCATTTTCTCCTTCCTCAGTTAGAGATGGGTTATTGTCTCGGTCTAATTCCATTGCCTAAAAAGAATGAACGAACAACCTATATTACATAGAAGTTGCACTTCCCTTCTGAAAAAGCTAATATTTTATTTCCCTTGCCTACACCAATCACATTAAAAGGTGTAATATTAACAGATCTTTAAAATATCTTGATTTTTACTTAAACAGATTCACAATTATCTGGTTTGCAACCAATAATTTCAGATGAATTGTTCAAGTTGGCTTGGTACATAGAAAAAGAGCAAAAGGCAGGTGGCCAGGATCTACATTAGACAACAGAAAATATAATAGTAAAATATTTTCAAATATAGATCCAAACAAGAGCCAACTTACTGTGATATCTAACTAATTAATTCAAACATTCATTTAACTGAAATACTGTAACAAAAAATGCACTGCAGAAATTACAATGGTTATGTAGATAATAGCTTTAAATCCATAATAGTGCTGTCCATATACAGCACTATTAAAAGTTATTAGTAAAAAGTATTGGATCAGGCAATAAAATGCAACTGCATATTCATTGGAAGCGCACTCCATAAAGAAATAGAAATAGAACCTGCAGCTACAAAAAGAAGAAAAATTTACTTTACTTGAGATTTTTTATTGATTCTACTATATTTTAGAAAGCAATTATATAAGAAAAATAAATCAAGTTGCAATTCAGAGCATGAGGTTAACAATGAATTTTATTTACTGGATGAAAATTCTGCATTATTTGGCACAAATTGTTCTTCTACTACCATAGAGCCCTTTGTGCATGCGTGCCGGCCAGTTGTTCTCTTCTGGGTTCTGGCACATGCATGCACGCTGGCAGAAGAGCAGCTATCTGGCGCATATGTATGTGTCAGAACCTAAAAGAGAGCAACAAGCTGGTATGCATGCATGTCCAGCATGCATGTGTGCATTGGAACCTGGAAAGCGCCTGGTTCCCATGCACATATGCGCCAGCCAGAGGCTCTCTTCCATGTTCTGGAGCTCCGGCATACATGCACACTCCAGTTTTGGCATATGGTCCCGAAAAGATTAGCCATCACTATCTTACCATTCTCGATGTTCCAGGCAAGCTCTCATTCCTGTCTTCCAATGTCAACGTTTTCATAGGAATATCAAGTTGAAAACCAAGAAAATCTTCTTCATCACTTGGCGCATTAAATATTTCAGCCAATTGAAGCATCTGTCCAATTCATAAAAAAATATACAATAGTCAGCTTGAAAAAATAAGATGAAATAAACTACCTTTGACAGAATCAATGTGATGGTCCTCTAAATTTAATACTATCTGGCCACATCTCCCTGGAATTTTAGATCACAAACTTTCTCTGCCTAAGTAAAAATATCAGAAATTGAATCATGTTCTGTAAGAGTTTTTGCCTAATATAATAATAAGCCAAGATTGTGATATACCAGGGGTATCAAACTCAAGGCCCAGGGACCAGATCCGGCCCACAGGGTGCTTAGATCTGGCCTGCAGGGCCACCCTCGAAACAGCAAAGGACTGGCCCGTGTTTCCTCTGTCAGTGAAAATGGGTGACCCTCCCAAATGGGTAGCCCTCCTCAGGTCCATTTTCACTGGCAGAGGGTTGCAGGAGGCCATTGTAGCTGAAAATGGAGCTTGGGAGCCCATTTTCACTGGCAGAATACTCAAGCCTCTACAGGAACCCCAACACGAGTGATGTTGAACTGGCCACACACCCCAAGATCAAAAAAAACCCTGATGTGGCTCTCAATGAAATAGAGTTTGATATCCTGTTCTCTACTATTCTAAGTTCTCTTCCGATACTGTTAGAAGTTTTTCTCTATCATTATAATATAAAGCTTTGTAGGTTTTAACGATTTAACAGAAAATGTACACAAAGTGCTATGAAATCTAGTTGCAATGAATAATTGGCTTCCAAGAAAAAAGCTTATTAATTCTTACCTTACTGTATAGTTGAGCTAGCAACTGCTGTGATCGTTATATGCTGAACTAATTTTGTCTTTGCATTTGCACTAGAAAACTCATTACAAAGCTGTAATTAATTATTGAAGGAAGGTGCATTCTCCAGTGAAGTACATTTTCAATTTCTGTGTAATGGATAGTGGTGGTGATAGTGAAATTCCAAAACATAATGCAGTCCATCCTCCCTACTTTGTTCTGATTTTAAGAATCATATTCAGGAGTTTCAGTGCAGCCAAATATCTTAATTTAAATATGAACTATTCAATACATACCAGGTGTACAGTTAGCAACATTTATAGAGAACATAATACATTATGTTCTCCATAAAAGAAAGAGTCCTTGCTACAAGCACTCTTCTTCCATCTGCTTACTAAAGTTTTATTTTTTCCATTCTGCTTTAGCAGTTTGGGCACAAAGGCTAATTGACTGACTACAGGCTTTTAAAGGAACAGTTGAACCCCCTCCCTTCTCCCCATGAGTGTTTTAGGCTAAACCAGTGGTTCCCAAACTTGGCAACTTTAAGACTTGTGGACTTCAACTCCCAGAATTCTCCAGCCAACAGAGTTCTGCTGGCTGGAGAATTCTGGCAGTTGAAGTCCACAAGTCTTAAAGTTGCCAAGTTTGAGAACCACTGGGCTAAACTATAATTTAAGATAAGAATTTATCCATTTGATACATTTGTCCAAGTCACTGTCTTTTAATTATTAGGTTGGACATCTGTCTTAATTCAGGGGATGAGACCAGAGGCATCACTAGAGATCTGTCTATTCACCACCCTTCTCTGCCTAGCCTTCCATTATGTAGAAGATCCTTACAAGGCCATGTAAAATGTCAATTTGTATCATACAATCAATCTATGAAGGTCTACCTTACAAACTTAAGGACACAGTAGCAATAATACTCTTCTAACTATTCTCTAGCAATCGGATTAAGTAGCATTCAGCTATCAAGAACCCAAAAGGAACCCCAATTTTCTTTCTAGATAAATTAGGAAATAAAATTACTCTGTCCGTCAGGTTGGCTAAGAGCCAAAAGCAATCCCACGTTTTTCTTTTCAGGAGGAGGAAAAGCTGGATCCTAAGCAGTCAAAAAAAAAAAAGAGGGAAGAAACAGCAAGATTTCAGTAAGCACAGCTGAATATTTTTTGTTCAAATACTCACAATTTCCTCAATAAAGCCATAAGATATTTAATAAAGAATTCAAACACCTGAAGACTTATCCCCAATTAGAAATGATTGCGTAAGGACTGGCGATTCTAGGAGCGCAACAATTCGCATCAAGATACTCTTTAAGCTAAAAGAATCACAGCTACCGTATCTGTAATGCGAAAATATTTTATAGGCACCAGGTTGCCTACCTCAATTTTACAGGTGTATTGATCTAGCCAGTATGTAACCACTGTTTCCCTACCAGAAGTCTCCCTCCTGCGTTAAGAAACGCAGCTTGTTCCGTTTGACGCGAATTTGCGATCCTGAACAAACTTTGGCTAAAGTATTATTTCTTTTCGGAAGACGACCCAAGAAGGAGTGCCGGGTGAGCAACCGTTCCCCTACTTTTGAGAAAATTGAAACGGGCTAACTTTTCTGGGTACAGATAAAGCTTCGCGAGAGCTAGGCGCTCCAATCGCAGCCGATTGAAAAGCGCGCTCTCTGGTGCGTTCTTCTCCCACTCCCACTGAAAGAGTTTGGAAAAGAACAGGGGAAAATACCAATTCTTGGCCACATCGCCTCCAGTACCCCCTTACCTCTTACCCCTTACCCCTTACCCCAAAGAAAACTGAAATATCGACTTACCTACCACCGGGCGCAAATGAAGCCTGGAATGAAGACGGCGGATAAGGGGGCGGTGCCCAGGGTGGAGTCCGGTCGGGTGGGCTGCGGAGAGCGCCTGGTTCCACCGGGCGCGAGCACACGTGATGGGCCTCAAGGCGGAGATTGCCGGGCGGCGTGGAGCGTCCAGGCGGCTTCAGCCACGGCGATGGGGTGGGAGGGATCGCTGGTGAGAGGTCCTAGAAAAGATTTACTTTACTGCGGGGCGGACCAAAAAGATGTTGTGGGTTGCACATATAAATGTAGGTACTTCTTGCAAATAAATGCTAGTAATTAAACAGAAATCTTTAAAATTCAGTTAAGAGAATCCAAACCTCAAATACCAACCTCAAATACCAAACTGTAAGAATTACAACATATAATATAATTATAATACATTATACTCCGCCTAGAATTGTTTTTAGTCAGATAGATGACTATATAAATTATTCTCTTTCTATGCATTAATTCATCTATACTTCATTGACCTTACCTGGATTGCTGTTGTACAGAGTGTTGGAAAAAAATATTCCTTACTCAGTTGTTCTGAGCTGAGTTAAGGGGAAAAAAAGACAGCTGCATGAAATTAAGAATTACAGTAAGTTCTTTACAATTTATCCCAAGCCAATAAACCCTTCCCCAAAGGAAAAGTTGGAGGGACCTTAATTACCCATCTCAATTCTGCCTTGAGTTCATCAGGTTTTGGCTGCACCTGAAGACTTTCTAACTAATTACTGGTCCTCCATGAACTTTCTTCTTTCTGGGCTGTCCCCTAAACAATTTAAAGATATTATCTGCCCAGTTATGGTTCAATCACACAAACTTTCACTACCCTATTGAAGCACGCGGATCTTACTGGTCCCCCTTGCAATTCAGGGTTCTCTGGTCATCACCAACAAGGCTAGCAGAGGTCTGAGGGCGGCTGAAACCAGTAGACACACAGCTTTGGTCAATAGGTGGGTTTTATCAAAGGGTATCACACACACTCACATTCACTGGGCATAAAAAGAAGAGAGAAAAAAATCAGATACTTACCAACGATGGCTTTATCTTGGACAACTACCTCAAAACTATAAATTCCAGTTTACTACTTTCCAGGTCAAATTATCAGAAAGTCACCCTTTGAGTAAATGGCAGGGTGTGACTATCCTGGAGGTTATCCCTCCAGCTGAGCTCATTGCTAGCTAGCTAGCTCACCGATACTGTTGGAATAATTTTTTTTCCTTACCCAGATAGTCCTCAAGCAGGTTGAGTTTAAGGGGAAAAAAGGCAGGCAGCTATCTGAAGAAGTTCGTGGTCTTCCTCCAAGAGCAACTGCAAAGACCACATCCTACCAGCACATCTTATATTCATTGCAATCAGTCCCTCCTTCTCAACACCATCATCTTACCCATTCGCCCAAATCCATCAACACATATCCCATATAAGGAAGTTTGTTCCTCCCATAATTTGGTCTCTTAAGTTTTGCAGAATACATTTATCTAACAAAAAGCAATCCTTGGAAGGTACATGTTATCTGAATTGCCTGGGTCAGCTATTTTCAAGGCCTATGAACAGTGAAGAGTGTGAAGGCCAACAATTCTTACAGGAAACAAAACAAGGCATGGCTTCTGAGCCTTAATAAGACTCTAAATGCTCAAATAAAACATTTCTTCCAAATCCCAAAGGTGTTTTTTTCAAGGGGCAACTGGCTTTTCCAAGAAGCTTCTTGGATGAGAAGCGAAATGTCTTCAAAGAAAAACCAGAAAGCGCAGTTGCCTCTTAAAATAATACATTTGGAACAAGCATGACCTGAATGACTGAAAATCTCCATAGACATTCTTTCCAATTATTGTCTTGCATAATTTAGGAGAAGAAATACAATAGATAAAATCCATACACACTTCCAGAGAGATGGCCACTTGCATATGGCCTCCACTGGCCCTTTGGAAGCCACCCTTGGCCTCACCAGGTCTACATGTGACCTTCCCAGCCTCCTTGTCCCTCAAGGCACTCCTGCATGCTTTACTTGGTACTGCCCTCTCTTCCTACTTAATGATCAGTGCATCCTGGGGTTATGGACAGCAATCAGGAGTTTTGGGATTATCATTGATAAAAAGCAATATGGCCCTGTGATGATGTATTTTATGCTTGCATCACTTAGTGACAGCAAGCCTGGTCCCAACTGCCATTGTAACCCAAGAATTACCCCTACACAAACCTCCATCACATAATGATTGTAATTCACATATTCTATCATTCACAAATTGTATGTTTACTTCCTGCTTGCAGTAGGAAGCAGAATATTGACATGAAGGTCTTTAACATATAATCAATGCCTTCTGCCATTTGTGTCATGTAGGAAAATGAATGCTATTGAAATTAAGAAATTAGATTTCTACACTCAGTAAATTTGGCATGGGTGAATTTCTGTTCTTCCTTAAAGGTCAAAAGTGAACTTATCTCAAGAATTGTTAACTCTCCTTTTAAGAATTACATATAATCCCCAAGGCTATTTTATACTATTCTTTTCACCTCTATTTTCCTCTAGTTAAACTTTATAATGTGCAGTTTCATGGTTTTTATAATATAACTGTCATCCCTCAGTATTTCCTTTTATCATGTTTCATGGTTAAAATGCTTCTTTTTAAAAAAAAATCATGAACAAGGTCCTTTGGAATTCAATTGATTCTAACCTTCCCAGCTGTATCCCAGCCCAGCTGCTCTAACTCTACAGCCATAGATTTTCTAGCCATGATTAACTTCTCTCTGCCCCATTTTTTTTAAACAACCCTTAAGATTACTTCAGAATGTCCACTTTAAGACCTAGATCTTTGTGTAATTAATTTTTCTAAAGATTAATTTGCATCCTTGCTTGGGTACTGTTTTCTTCATCTGCCTCATAATACATCATATTCAGTGCATTTCATAACTGTTGAGTCTGAAGTAGCCTTTGACTTTGCTCATCACCCTATCAGAGTATTTCTGATGATTGCTCAGATAAGCCCTTTGAATTTAAATCATGCTATGAAATTCATAACCATAATTCTACTTGAGGCTTATGATACACCCTATAATTGGGCTGAGGCACTTTTGAACTGCTGCTTTCTGAGCAGAATAAATGTCTCCATGAAGATATCATTATCTCCTCTAAAAACATATCAAAATCTGATCATTTCTACAGGTTCCTCCTTCTTGTACTATTATAGTGACATGAAATATAATTACACAATAAGGGCATCATTTCCACGTCATGCCCTTACAAATGGAATAAGTGTGCTCTTAATTGACTAAATACAACATTGAAATGTTTTTATTGGCTACATTCTCAAAATAGATCAGTAATATTAAACTAAAACCCAGCTCTATTTTTTTTGACATTTCTGCTTTCAATTGTTGTTAATCTGAGTTCCCATTCTAATAATGGTTTTAGAGCTCAACTTCCTTCCACAGTTCTACGAGATCTGTCAAGCCTCCACTTTCCCACAGTTATCAATGAATACTGACATACCTTAATTAAAAGGATTACTTGATGCTTTGCACACTATTATCCTCCTTTCCCCTAGTCCTGAAAATCAGCTAGTAAGCAAGCAGAAAAGAATGGCTGCGACCTGTTCTGCAGTTCAAGGTAACCTTTGAATTTCTAAGATAGTTGCATTCTTAAGATTGTCCTGGAGCCACATAGTCGCTATGTTTCTCTTGTTTTCTCTGCTTGTTTTATTATTTCTTTATGCCATCACAAACGATATCAGCTAACTTCGTGCCACTTATTGTTTTTCTTATTCTCTGTGAGTTGTTTATAAACAGCCCCTTTTCATGTTAATATCCCTGAACCTAGTAGGCTAGTCTATTTTCCAGGGATTCACAGGAATATTAAAATGAAAATGTCTCTGATTCTATGGGAAAACACTTTCAACCTTACATTTTATTTATTTAATCATAAAACTTAGACCGTAGTCAATAAATAAATGCATTGCTGCTTCAAAGAATTATATGGTCTGCCTATTTAAATGAAAACATGGATTGTTTCATAAACCATAGTTGTCTGGATTCAGACAATATAACTAAACTATGAACTATGGTTTATAATTTGAACTATCCAGGTTCCACAAAATATTCAGAAATCACCTTGGAACCAAGTATACTATAGACCAGTGCTTCTGAACCTTTTCGGCATGAGTGCCAAAACGGGAGCGCACAAGGGGGACCACTGGAAACCAGAAGAGCAGCTGAGCTTCTGGTTTGTGGTGTGCACATGTGCATACCTGGCACACATAGTTCCTGTTTCTGGCATGTGTGCACTCATGAAGACCAGCTGGCTGGTGCCCACACGTGCACTGGAAACTGGAAGTTCAGCTTCCTGGCACGCATATGTGCCCCAGGGAACTGCTTTTCCAGTTTCCTGCACTCCTGTGCACACAAAGATCAGCCAGCCAGCATGCATGTGTGCACCGGAACCTGGAAATTCAATGGGTGACAGCTGGCGTGCTCGGAGAGATGGCTCTGCATGCCACTTCCGGCTCATGTGCTGTAGATTTGCCATCACAGCTATAGACAAACCACATTATAAACCATCATTCATGAACATAAAGACTTTCTTTTTGATTATGTTATTTGTCTGATTCAGCAAATGTTACATTACTAAAATGAATCAAAATTCTAGCCAACTGTTAATGTTAGCTTTTTTATATTGAAGTGGGGGGAAGCTAAGGCTGTAGGCTTGTATTTTCAATTTATCATGCTAGCTTACAAGGTAGTTTACTACTAGCATACAAGGTAGCTAGCATACTAGCTAGCACACAAGATAGCTTACTGATTTCATCTTTGAATTAGTGAAGATGTAGATTTCACAACACATTTAACGATTATGAAAAATGAAATTTTTTTATTTAAAAATACCATAGCATTTTGTTGCTAATATATTTTTGATATTAATGTATGGCTGCTTGCAAAACATTGCAATTTTGATGAATTTCTGAAAGTACTGCAATCCAGTTTCCCTTTGTTGTTGTTTTTTGACACATTTGATTATATTCTTGCATGGTTCTGATTTTGGAGAAGGCATCCATATGCTGTCAGGACAACCAAGAGATACAGAAGCATGGGTTAAGCAAGGTGGGACAGGAAAATACTAGAAAAACACCCGCATGACACCCTGGGATGTAAGAGAAAGGGAAAAGATCAAAGTAAACTTGAAAGATTCTTTTAACACAGTTTGTCTCAATGAATTCAATTCTTATCATCCTTCGAGACAATTTTTTAGAACAGTGTTTCTCAACCTTGGCAACTTGAAGATGTCCGGACTTCAACTCCCAGAATCCCCCAGCCAGCATTCGCATTAGCATTGGTTGGCTGTGGAATTCTGGGAGTTGAAGTTCGGATATCTTCAAGTTGCCAAGGTTGAGAAACACTGTTCTAGAATATCTACCTTGTAGAGATGAGAATTAGTTTTTTCACTAGCTCTGTTTGAAAGATTGACGTCTACCTGCTTAAAATGTATTAAGGAACAGGTTGATATTTCAGTTCCAAGTTTAGAGACATTTTATTCTTTTCTTGCTATTTTTCTCGGTTGTTTTATTTCTACTGATTTTGTATCGTTATTTAAAATGGGCTCTGGATAACTTTATACTGGATATTGGGAGGTCAAATTAGAACAGAGTAATCCATGTAAAAGAGAAAAGAAACAAATCGAGATGGTAAAATTTTGTAACAGACATAGTAGTACCCTTATCTGTGTGTGAGAGGGAGTGAGTAAGTGTGTGTGTGTGTAGGGAAAAATATAAATATTTTCTTTTCTCTCTTGGGATTTAAATATTTTTTATTGGTATCTGGAGAGTGAAATAAATTTGGATTCTTTAAGACAGGTAGGGAATGATGACACTTTTATAACTTATGGACTCAGGAACTCTTGGAGTTGAAGTCCAGAAGTCATAAAGGAGCCATTTCCCCCCAACTCTGCTTTATGGACTACTCTTGTCGACTTTCCATAGCTGAACAGAACAGAGGACCATTGTCTTCTGTTGGGCAACCACTGATTTTCATATTTAGTGAAGAATGTCTAAAAAAACTAGCATGTTCTCCAAGGAAGGTTTCCCACACTGGTCATATTAGCCTCCTAAAATATTTTAACATTAGCCTTTGAAAGATGCTTACATTGGTTAAAAATATAATATATAGATTAAAATATGAATACCTGCAGTAACCTATTCAAAAACGTTAAGCTTGACTTATATGGTATTGCTGCAAAATATTGCAAATGTTAATTTTTGTGGACTTCCAGATGAATTAAGTGCAGGTAATCAATTCAATTCAATTTATTACAGTCATAGAACAGAGACCAGAAAAAATAAAAAACGAGGAGCCGAGGTGGCGCAGTAGTTAGGGTGCAGTACTGAAGGCCACTACAGCTGACTGTTATCTGCAGTTCAGCGGTTCTAATCTCACTGGCTCAAGGTTGACTCAGCCTTCCATCCTTCCGAGGTGGGTGAAATGAGGACCCGGACTCTGTGGGGGCAATATGCTGACTCTGTAAACCGCTTAGAGAGGGCTGAAAGCCCTATGAAGCGGTATATAAGTCTAACTGCTATTGCTATTGCTAAAACACTCAATAAGTGTCCAATTAAAAATTCTAGAATAAAATAATAAGTAACAGATGAAATATTTGATGTAATCCAGTCTTATCAATTACACATGATCTAGCTACACTAAAATAACAATCCATAAACTGTGAGGCCCATAGTCAGTATAAGTAGTTGCCGAGTTATGACCACAATTGAGCTCAAAATTTAAGTTGCTAAGTGAGAAATTAGTTAAGTGAGTTTTGCCCCATTTTATAACTTTTCTCAACCACCTTTGTTAAGTGAAGCATTACGGTTCTTAAATTAATAACACTGTTGTTAAATGAATCTGGTTTTGACTTTGTTTGTCAGAAGGTCTCAAAAAATGATCACATGACCCTGGGATATTGAAATCGTCATAAATGTGAGTCAGTTGCGAGACAGCTGAATGCAGTTCACATGACCATGGGGATACTATAATGGTCATAAGTGTGAAAAATGGTTATAAGTCATTTTTTCAGTGCCTTTGTAATGTTGAACAGTCACTAAATGAACTGTTGCAAGTCGAGGACTACCTATATGTCAAAGTTTTTGAAATGTCACAATAAAAATAAAAGGGTTAGCTTAAAAGATTGACTTAAAGTATTATTCATTATGTTTTCTGAAGTGAACCATAAATCCTTTTTTCTTATGTGTAAAGAGCTTAAGTCTTACTAAGGGATGCTTATGGGATCATGCTATAAATCCCTAAGAACTGTGATTATTCATTAATGGGAGCATCTGAGAATAAACTAGATTAAGTGCATCCTGCAGCCGAGAAATGTTCTTTAATGAAATCAAGGTGGTGCTGTGGACAGAACAAAATCTTCCTAGGGACGCATTTAAAAAAACCCATAATTACTAGATTCTTGGGTCCTTTTTCTCTTTGCCAAGAAACCCCACAAGCAGGGGTGGGCTGTTGGGAGTTTACAGGGGTTCTGGAGAACCTCTGGCTAAGATTTTGTGCAGGTCGGAGAACCCCCAAATCCTACTCCTGGCTGGCCCTGCCTACCCCTCCTCTCCCAGGAGTCCCCACACAGCCCCTTTTGGATGCAGGTAAATGCAGGGCGGGCGCAGGGGCTCAGGGAGGGCAAAAACACCCCACCCCTACTGTGATGCAGGAGGCTGACTAGGCTATACCCACCGTGGCCACATTTACT